GGTCTAGAGGTGGCAAGGATACTTGAGAATGGGTTGTGAGTTTAAATACTTCAGGTGTGCACTAAGTGTGTGCGGTGCGAACCCTTAGTTTTGAGGAAGGGAAAGCTGTAATCAAGGAGAGTGGAGAAATGAACTTTGGCACTCTTTAAGCTCAAGTGAGCTGTACTTTGGTCATCAGCAGGAGGTGGGATAATAACCATCTATTGAGCTTCTGTGATAAACCAGGCTTGGTAGAAGGCAGTTTAAAGATAATCTTTATCTTTATAGTAGCCTTGAGGGCTTTTTTTTTTTTTCTTTTTGGCTGTTACATGTTCTTTAAACTTTTTAGTATGTTTTCAAGTTTATCGCTAATATTGTTTACATAGTTGAGAGGGATGCATGCTCGTATGGGCCTCAGATTATAGTGGGGGGTGGCCAAGATATGGAGAAAGGTTGGTGGGACAAATGTTTGATTTTTTTTTTTCCCCTCTCATTTGATGACACCTTAGAGACCCGGATGTGGGCAACAGTGTTCTACGGGTGTTACTTGAGTGGTTTTGATAGTTCTGTGATGCTGTCAGTTTCATTGCACCAGGGTTGAGGAAATCTCCATGAGGTCTACTGGCTGGCCTAGTCCACTCTAGTGCACCAGACCCCGAGCATGCTGCAAAGTTTGGCCAGGAGAGTAAGCCAACCTGTTCTGCCTTCCGTCCTCTAAGGAGACCCTTGATGTCATCTTCTGGTCTAGGTGAGCTGGCTGTCATGTCCCCCAAGTGCATCTGGGCATATTATCCACTGCACAGGCATCAGCAACTGAGAAGGTGGCCCAGTCCTATTATATGAACTCCAAGGTTGTATTGCATATTTTGCGATCTTTTTTTTCCCCTGTGGCCAGGGTTTGAGTCCCATGGTCTATTTGAAGATCCCACCCAAGAAGCCTCACCTGGAGTGACCTCACCTCAGACTTGACTGTTGCAAGAGCCAACAGTGCAGGGTCTCATTTAGTCTGTTGTCTGCATCAGTCAGTGCACATACTGGTGAGATCCTGGTCAGTTCTGTCCCTAGCCCAGAGCCCTCCACAGGCACACCAGTGAGTCCCATGGCCTAGTTGGGACAATGCCCTAATATCCGCCACCAGACTTGTCCCCAGCCTGTTTTTGCATGTGCTGTGGCCCAGCATCGTCTGTCCTGCATCCCATCCAGTTTTTGTACATATGCATGGATGCTGCAGTTTAGCTTGGGCCATCCTGTCTACAGATATATGCTGATGGTTACTGCCGCCCTGACCAGCTGGGCCCACCCCCAGCCTGTCTCTCATTCTCACCAGCAGGAGGTGCAGCCCAGCAAGAGTGTGCCCACAGTTCCCCTACCAGGCCCGCTCCCAGCACTGGATGTTGCACGTAGGAGCAGATGCTGCATCCCAGTCTGAGATGGTCGTGCGCGGCCTGCCTTGTCTTCATTCCCAGTTCTTGCTGATGGGCACAGCAACCCAACCAAGCCTGGCCTATACTCCATCCTTACTCTGTATTTTGCCAGTGTGTTGTGGGCTCACCCAGCCTGACCTGATCTGCCCTGTCCCCAGCCCCAGCCCCAGCCCCAGCCCCAGCCCCAGCTCTCATGCTCACTAGTGGAAACTATCCTAGCAGGGAAGTTTCCCAGGTTACCCTTCCAGGCACACTTCCAGCCCCAGAGCTCTGTATGCCAGCAGGTGCTGTAGCCTGGCCTCTTCCCAGTCTCAGCTCCTGTGAGTATCAGGTGGATTCCTGTCAGTTAAGTTCCATCGTCCAGCCTGGTTTGGCCCATCACCACCCCCAGCTCTCATACAAACCAGCTACAGACCCACAGAGGGGAATCCACAAGTCTTCCATAGAATCTGCCCCGAGATCTGATTCTCTTGCATTTTGGTGGGTACTGCAGCCCAGCCTGATACAGCCTAGTACTGGTTCTAATACTTGTTCCTAGTACCTGTGCAGGCAGGTGGTACCACCTAGCCCTGCCCAGTTTTTGCATGTACCAGTGGGCAGCGGACAATGGTACTTAGCCCAGCCCAGGTCTTCCGTGTGGGCCTTGGCCTAACCCAGACATGCTCTCTGTTTTCCCCCCATTTGAGCCACCACCTGCGAGTGCAGTGGCCCAGTCCATGGAGGACCCCAGAAATCATCCCTCCCCTGTCAAACATGCCTATATCCACTCCCGCTCCAACTTGTCCCCAGACCCGCTTAGACCCTCTTCTCGGGCAGTCTGCACTCTGCTCCCTGCCTCCCTCTCCCTCTCCCCCACCGATGGGGGCCAGGTGGTGTGTTCCAACCTGGTATTCTCCACCTTTCGCCTTATTCAACAAGAATGGGCAGCTATGCAGGCACAGCAGTGTAGTTAACACAGATTTGGCATTCCCAGGCCTGCAATGCCCTCCAGTTCTTGGCTGCTTTTCTCCTAGCAGTGTAGCGCTTGCTAAGGTACAAGGCAGGTAGTTTCCTACTGCTGGGGGAGGTGCTTATTATTACCCCTATTTAAGAAGTGAGGAGATGGCGATAACCCACCCAGACAATACATAGAACAACGCTGTGGCCAAAAGTGTAAGAAAAGGAGAATGAAAATGGAGTTGTAGTTGTGATATGATGGATTGGAGCTCCAAGGCTTCCTGTAGATTTGGAGATCAGAGGCAAACCCGGTTTTGCTTCCTTTGGAAACAGTTACTTGTTTTTATTCTAATCATTTACTGAAGTTTATTTAAACCTTGGTGAAGGATCACACTTGCATAAATACATTTCACCTATTTAAAAAAGATCTTTTAATGGATGAGTTGTAATGCATTGTAAAAGCACTGAATATTTAGAAGGAAAACAGTTTTAAAGCTAGGGACTATCCAGTAATTAAATCATTTCCAACTTCCAAGTGTTAACCATCTTTTTTTGAAGATTTATTTTATATTTTTTATTGGGAAGGCAGATTTAGAGAGAGAAGGTGAGACAGAAAAGATATTCCATCCACTGGTTCGCTTTCCAAATGGCTGTAATGGCCGGAGCTGAGCCAGTCTGAGGTCAGGATCCAGGAATTTCATCCTGGTTTCTCATGTGGGTGCAAGATCCCAGTCTTTGAACCACCCTCTGCTGCTTTCCCAGGCCATAGCAGGGAGCTGATTGGGAAGTGCAACAGCCAGCTGGGTCTCAGCCATATGGGATTCTGATGCTTGCAGAGGGAGGTTTAGCCAGTAGAACCATTGCTTCACGCTCAAGTAAACCATCTTAAACACCCAAAAAGAAATGAAAATAAGTTTTTCAGCATTCAAAAAGTATGGAAATGTTTTTTGCATTTTCAAAGTCATCTCATTGAACACACAATATTTTTCTCTGTTCTCATATTTTATCTTCTATGAAACTGGAATAATTAATTTCTCTATTCCTACATATAAACCTTCTAACTATATTTTTTATTGAGCTTTCTTACAGTCTCTTGTTATCTTTCTTACCTCATTATCCTCTAGATTCCTCTGTGCCAGTAGGAGGTTATTATTATTATTTGTTAAACTTAGTGCGCATCTGGTATTTCTGTTTTGTTTTTACTTAGTGTGGTCCAAATATGTCATCTTTTTTAGGTTTAGATGATAAACTCCAAAGGAAGTTTATTGTTAACCACCTGTTAGCCTGCCTTTTATTCAGTAGTGCAGTGTTTTAAGCAGTATCCATTGGATGAACTATACAACTGGAGAAAATGGTTTTGGAAGTATTAAATTGCCGAGTTTGTAGAAATAACAAATCAAAGGGAAACTGCAATGCGTGATAAATGATCTTGTGTTAGTTCTGTCAGCCCTAAGATTCATAAATTAATATTTTAATGTTCTATTGCCTTAATGATGCTCATAGCGCAGAACATACTTCAAACAATAAAGTTATTATGACATGACATTTTAAAGCCATCCATCTTTCTAAAATGTAAATGTTTAGGAAGGAAATAAACATATAAATGAAATGTGCTTTAAATGGTGTCTTCAGAAGGTGAAGTGAAAGGTGCTTGATGCAGGTTCTAAGCAACATTCCGTGCCTGTTTGAAACTTGGAAATTGGCAACTGTAGGCATTTGCTAAATAGGCGTTATTTTTCTTTTCATTCATTTATTCAAAACTGTGTGACACCTGTGTCAGACTGACAAATCCAGATGTATCGTACAGTGTAGGCATAGTGCCAAGTGTTCATTAACAGTAGAATACAACAGTAAGAAACCACATAGTTGATTCTTGCGTCAAGTTGTATGCCGTGTGCAGGTGTGGGCATTAGTATGTAGGATGTAAAATGAAGGGCACGTGGGCATTGTTGTGAGTGTATCACTGGGCCAGATTAGTGTCAGTTACGGTTGGCCTGGATTCATCTTGGAATGGGAATTTCTTAGAGCCAGTTTAGTTTTTCTTACTACTTTTGAGACAAGTTTCGGTAAATAAACAATTGTTATATAAAATTGCTTAGTAGTTTAAATGTCCTTATGCAGTAAAGGACAACTTGATGGTGAATATATGGAAGCACAGATAATCCAGAGTAGCCAAGGAAATCAGAGGTTTTAAGGTACGTTTAGTTTTTAATTATAAACTTTGCTTGTTTACAGCAGTATTAGAAAAACAATACTGCCTGGCAGGGTTAGTTATTTATTTATTCATTCGTTTATTTATACGGAGGGAGGCAGAGATGTTCTGTCTGCCATGTCACTCCCCAAATGGCCACAGGGACTTGGGCCATCCTCTGATGCCCGACAGTCGGGAGCACTAGCAGGGAGCTGGGTCAGAGTGGGACAAAACACTGCTGCAACTTCGACAGCTGAGTACGTCTCCTCTTTGTCTGTCACCTTTTCAGAAGCCTGTTGCCTGCCACGCTACAAGCATGATCCCAGAGTGGGTCTCCTTTCCCTGTTCTTTTGCGGTGGTATTATGGTGGTAGGGACAAGTTTTGCTCTTGGGTATTTTGTTATTTTGTCATTTTACTTTTGATGGAAGTTAGCCAGAAGAGTGGAAAGAATGAGGTTTCCTATGATTTAGGTGCTTAGATGTGTTCAGCTACAAGAATTGGGATAAACCTAGTAGAAGGGACCAGATGAGAAAGGCTAGTGTGAAGGAAGGGCTGTAGAAACTCAGGGGAGAGATCCCATACGTGGTGATTGTTTATTGGCAGTTCAAACCTGGAGAGCTGTTAGGAAGGAGGGAAAGATGGAGAGTAATCCTCACTCTCCCAGGTGCCCACAGTGGCTCCCATATACGATACTGTCCTGCATTGCCTGCTTAACCTGTTATGCCACAGCACCGGTCTCCCTGCAGGAGCTATTTAAGATATCATTGCTTGGGTGGGTCCCATCACACACCCATTAAACTTCATATCTCTGTTGGTAGCACTTGCCATGTGATCTAGTGCAGTCAGGTTTAAAGGGTGAATGGGGTTGGAATCACGAATAGAATCTGGTGAGATTACTTGCCAAATTACTTATTTTTTTAGTTAGTTGTATCTTGTTTAATTTTTCAGCACATTGCTATTGAAGCATTTGTAGTATGACAGTCGTGAAACAACAGTGTTGGAGCAGGTATTTAGCCTGACACTTAAGAAACCTGCATCTCTTCCCAGAGGATCTGGGTTCGAGGCCTGGCTCCCTTCTCATTTTCTTTCTCTCCTTCTCTCTCTCGAGATTTATTTATTTTTATTTGAAAGATTTTCCAAGAGAAGAAAAAATAGTCTCCTGTATGCTGCTTCATTTCTGAAGTGGCCAAAATGTCCAGACCTGAGCTGATCAGGACCCAGGAGCCTCTTCTAGGTCTCCCGAGCCCATCTTTGTTCTGGGAGTAGAGATATACACTGCACTGCATCCTCACATCGGGACAGGATCGTCTCCATTACACAGTCACCACAAATCCCAAATGAAAAGCCACAATACAAAATCAACAATAGAAAGAAAAATAGAAATTTACCAACTCATGAATTTCTCAAGAGGTTTTCATAGTTCAGCAGTCGTGCATTGTTGGCAATTCCGCCACTCCAATCATGATGAAATCTCTCCTGAATCCTAGTCCACCTTAGCGTCTCCGTCTGCCCAGATCTTCACTGTCAGTGATTGGCTGGGGTAGTTGATCAATTTGTTCTGTCCTCCATCCTCTGCCATGGGACCAGGAATCCTCTGGAGGCTCCAATGTACAGCCATATCCTCCACGTACATTTGGGTATGCTATCCTCTGCTCAGTCTGAACTCAGACGGCTCAGGTCTGGCACATCACTCCCAGTCACCCGGCTCCATTCTTGAGAGTGTGTCTTCCTGGTGGTCCATTCGGGACATATTTTGGGGGTTGAATAGTTAATGAGGATTCTTCCTCCTCTGTTCCCCCACCTCACCTCATACTAAATAGCAGTGCTGAGCCAGCTGCCTGCACACCCTGCCTGTCTGATCTTGTGGTGCTTGGTCCCTGCAGCTCAGCCACTGACCTTTTGATGGTAACTAACGATGTATGGTGTTCTTTCCTGCCACGGGATCATCCTTCGTTTCCTGCCTTTAAACACCTAAGACCACCCACCCCAAACTGTGGATGACTCGCCCCAAACATGGGCACTTGAACATATGGAGTGTATTTGAAAGGCAGATTTATAGAGAGGGGATAAAGATCTTCAATTCTATGGTTCATTCCCCAAATGGTCACAGAAGCTGGAGCTGCACTGGAAGTGGAGCAAACTGGACTAGAACCAGCTCTGTGAGATGCTGGCACTGTAGGAGGGGGATTAGTGAGGTGTGCCAACATGTGTGCCCTCCCCTTACCATGTTTGCAATTGTTATTTGGCTTTCTTGAAAGACCAAGCTCTTTGCTTACCTAGCATTGAAATTATGCTTAAGATACTGTATATGTTGAGTGAATGAATAACTGAAAATGTAAAGTAACTGGATAGATTCCCCGTGTATCTATAGAACCAAGTAGGAGAGCAGATATACAATAATAATGCAGTGACTTTTGGCGGTTAACAGCAACCCCAAAAGACTTTGAATCAGGAGAGAGAGGTTGACAGGTTTGGGGGGAAAGGAGCAAATAGTCACACATTACTTGTCCAAGGGTGTATGGTTCATGCTGGGGAAAGGCACTGTGAAATCATAGCTAATACTGCTGAAGCAGGATGGACTGGTCTCCATAAGGTGGTTAGGCTATCTTGTTGGCTTGTTCCTTTTCTCTTTTGTTCTAATAGATGAGGTTTAATCCAAGCCTTTGAAAGTTCCAAAACAGCAAACTACTTATTATTTGAAGCTTATTATACAGTAGAAGAGAAGATAACATTTCTAACCATTTAGGAATGTATTTTTACATATCTGTGTACATCACATCTAGGTTAAGCTACATGAATTTTGTAAGGCAGACAGTATAATAGAAGCTTAAAAAATGAGACCACTGTACCCAGGCGTTGGGAGATGCAAAATAGCATTAAAGCTTTGACCAGTCAGAGTGTTTGCATTTTATTTTTGTCATCTGTAAAACAATTAGCTAAATATATTCAAAGTGCAAAGAGCCAACAGAACACAATTGCTCACTGTTTTTTGTTGTCACAACTTAAAAGAAAACACATCTTAAATATGAAAAAAAGATAATCATGTTGTCATTTCTTGTTTTTCATCCGTTGTTCCTGGTTTTTAATGTGCCGGGAAGAAAATGCATGAGGATTTATCAGCATGCTTTGCTAATGACCTCTCTCGCAGGAAGCCTAAACCCGTTTAGTGGTTAAGCTCACCGGAAAGCATTGTCAGAGCCGGAATATCCATTGCAGTGTCTTGAAGCCTTTTTTGTAATCCTGGGAAGCACCTGCTGTGAATGTTGAAAAAACACTGCAAAGGTTGCCTGACCGTTAAGGTCAGTGGTATAGGACTTGTGGGGTTGTCATTTTAGTACTTGCATCTTTACTCACCTGAGCTCTCTAGCTTATTTCTTTTGCCATACTCCATATTCTGTAGTTTCTACTGTCTAGGCCTCCAGAAAATGTCTCTAACATTGCCTTCTATTCAGCTGTTCCCCTAAAGTTGGTGCAAATTTCTATTTATGGAAGGTAAGAGATTACTTAGTCCCTTTGTACTCGATTCTTAAGAAAAGTGGAGCTGACAGAATTTTATTATATAGAAAGAAAAGAGAAGACAGAAGGATCTTCATCCGTTGGTTCACTCCCCGGTGGCTGCACTGACTGGGGCTGAGCTGCTCCAAAGCCAGGAGGTGCTACTAAGTCTCTCCAAGACTTCAGGCCATCCTCCACTGCTTTCCCAGGGAGCTGGATGGGAAGTGGAACAAGCAGCCAAGACATGAACCGACACCCATATGGGATACTGGAGCTTGCAGGAGGAAGATTAGCCAATTCAGTGATTGTGCTAGGCCCTGCTTATTTTTAAAAATGTGTTTTACTTACTTGAACAGTTACAGGGAGGTGGGGATAGCCAGAGGGAAAGAGGTCTTCATCTGTTGGGTTACTCCCCAAATGAGCCAGGCCAAAGCCAGGAGCTTCTTCCAGGTCTCCCATGTGACTGCAGCATCGCATGGCTTTGGGCCCTCGGCTGCTTTCCCAGGTATATTAGCAGGGAGCTGGATGGGAACTAGCAGCCAACTGAGAAGTGGGCGTTGACTTAAGCTGTTAACGCCACAAAGCCAGCCCCTACACTTAGTTTATTGGAAAGTCAGATATTCAGAGAAGAGGATAGACAGAGAGCAAGATCTTCCGTCCTGTGATTCACTCTCCAGGCAGCTGCAATGGCCAGAGTTGCACCAATCCCAAGCCAGGAACTTCTTCTCCAGGTCTCCCATGCGGGTGCAGGGTCCCAAGGCTTTGGGCTGTCCTCGACTGCTTTCTCAGGCCACAGGCGGGAGCTGGATGGGAAGTGGGGCTGCCAGGATTAAAACCAGCACCCACATGGGATCCCAGGCATGCAAGGCGAGGACTTTAAAGAAGTTTACTTCAGTGCGGACTTTATATTAGCAAGATTCACAATTTTATGCAATGTAAGTCTAAAATATTAAGGACTTGAAGCTACATCCTTACCTGTTACCACGTGTCAAGCATAGGATAAGAAGGTCTTCCTTGAAGCTTCTCAGCCATCAAACAGGAGACTGGACAGCCAGCTGGGTTCTCAGCTTTACATGTCCTGCCACAGTGAGAGCCACCTCTGTGTGTGGCAAATGTGGCTTCATTCTGCTTATTTTCTCTTCTGGAAGCACTCAGAATCATTGATTGACCTGCCTCGCTGATTTGAAATGCTTTCAGTGGTGTTTTCATTTAAGAAAGGACATTTAATGGGAAGCTTTTATTTGAGGGGAAAAGAATTCTACTTTGAAGACTAATGGGCCCGTAATTTTAGAGACAGACAAAACTGTCTTAAGGCAGATTTAGCAAGGAGTAGGCATTCCCTTTAGAAAACATTTCTCTGGCCTCTTCTTGGAAGGAAAATTTCCTTGACATGAGAACCTAAGTAATCGTAGTGTTTTCCAGGCCTTAGTGTCTTGATTGTCTCGCCTTTTTGGGGGGGGGTGATAAGAGCACCCAACAAATTATATTAGTTTAGGGATTCTTCATACTTTAAAGATTTACTTGTTTTTGTTGGAAAGGCAGATCGGATTTACACAGACAAGGAGAGACAGAAAGATCTTCCATCTGCTGGTTCACTCCCCAGATGCTCATTATGGCCAGAGCTGAGCCAACCCGAAGCCAGGAGCTTCTTCCTGATCTCCCATGCAGGTGCAGGGTCCCAAGGATTTGAACCACCCTCTCTTTTCCCAGATAATAATAAGTAGGGAGCTAGATGGGAAGTGGAGCAGCTGGGGCATGAACCAGTACCCGTATGGGATCCCGGTGCTTGCAGGACAGAGATTTGAACCATCTCACCAGGGACCACAGTTGTTTTAAGCATGCGCTAGTCATGAATTTTTCTAATTGAAAGGGTAACATAAATCCTGAGTCCCAAAGAAAATATAAGCAGGCACAGTTCATGCGGCTAGTCGGATGGCAAGGGTTAGGTGCTGGAGGTCTCCTGACGTGCGTTGTGATGAGCACAGATTTAACCGGCCTAAGTGTTGGTCCAAGTGAGTTGAACTGACCTTTAAACCTGAGGGATTTTAAAGCCAGAGGCTATGATCGTGGCAATAGTTGAAGGTCAGTGATGGGGTTGCTCACTGCTTGGATGACCAACGTGTCAGCCTTGCCACTAGCTTACTGGATTTTCTAGGAACAGTATTACCGATGCCTGGGCTTAGTTCAGGCTGGTGTAACAAAATGTTGTAGGCTGATTAGCCTAAAAGCAAGTTTACCTCTCAGAATCTTGAAAGCTGACAAGCTTAAGACCACAGTGCCCACACTCTGATCATATATTTTTGTTCATGGCATGTTTTCACTGTGTCCTTCAGCAGCCAAGGAAAGGAAATCCTCCCTGGTCTCTTCAGGGATACCAGTCCCATTCGAGGGTGCTGTCCCCTCACTTGCTCACTCACCCACACCATCACTTGCAGGCTTAGACTTGGAGCAGTGAGTTTGGAGGCACAATCAGATCGTGCCATCTCCCCTGCCCAGCTAGTCCTGACTGAAGCAGGCTGCTTTGCTTCTGGCTTGGCAGGCTTGTGTATTCTGAGTTCTACTGAGTGTATATTAAATATGGTTAACTTTAGAATGACAGGCTGGCTCAAATGAAAGGCAGCTGTTCCACAGAAGTTTCATTGCTCTGTGTGCCTGCATGGTAGTGCCTCTTTACCTAGAAAGAGTGAAGAGTCACAGTCTGACCCTTTGTAGGAAACATTCCTGGCCTGAAGGAATACAATGAATATTGACAAAATTTGACTGAATATCTGAAGAGTTAATTATGAGGTCAGCTGTGGGTTACTTGCACAGTCACGCTAATTGCATAATGACATTTCTGTCAACAATGAGCCCTAATACACGGCGGTAGTCCCCTAAGATTATAATGGAGCTGGAAAATTCCTGTTCTCTGGAGAGGTTGTAACTGTCTTCCCGTCATGTGTTTGGGGATGCTGATGTAAACAAAGCCGTTGTATGGAACACTTGCACAATTTTGTGTGGTATGTAAGACCTGATAATGGACAACTACAGAGAGATGTATTATAGCGAAACTTTAGTGGGTTCTCTCTCCACCTGTAAAAAACACTGTGTGATTTTACTCCTGCAGCAGCAGCCTCCAGCATGCTCTCTCCTGTTTGTGTCTTCAAGCATATATACCCGGAGAGGGAGCACAGCTGGGTTTGAGGTGAGCCGTGTACCACATGGGCTGTGTAAGTGCACCCGATGCTGTTTGCACGCTGACAGTTACCTAATGCCATATTGCTCACAAAGTGTCACCATCATTAAGCAGTGCGTTGGCTGTATTATAATTAAGATTCACTCTGGCTTCCTTCAATTAGCCTTTATTGCTCCCACTAGAGTAGATCTGACCAGAGTGTATATGTAACTTAAACTTTTGGAGTAGCAGGTCTAACATAACCCAAAGTGTATAATTCCTTTTCTAGACTTTAGTTTAAAAATACTGTACAGGTGAGCAATGCCACAAGAGTTGGCTGTGAACCCTGCACCATGCCTAGTAGTTAAAGTCCTCGCCTTGCACGCTCCACGATCCCATATGGGCATTAATTCTAATCCCAGCTGTTCCACTTCCCATCCAGCCCCCTGCTTGTGATCTGGGAAAGCAGTTGAGGATGGCTTAAAGTTCTGGGGCCCTGCCCCCGTGTGGGAGACCCAGAAGAAGCTCCTGGCTTCGGATCGGCTTAGCTCTGGTGGTTATGGCTACTTGAGTGAATCATCGGACAGAAGATCTTTCTGTCTCTCCTCCTCTCTGTATATCCTCTGGGTCACTTCCCAAAGGCTATGAGAGCCAGAACTGGGAGCCAGGAGCTTGTGGGTACAGGAGCCCTGAACTTAGGCCATTTCCACTGCTTTCCCAAACCATTATGGAGCTAGGTTAGATGTGAAGCAGCCAGGGTTCACACTGGCCCCATATTTTGTAGTTCTTACAGCTGATAAGTTGAGGGCCCGGTACAATAGCCTAGCAACTAGTCTTCACCTGCACGCGCCAAGATCCCATATGGGTGCCAGTTGCAATCCTGCTGAACCTGCTTCCCATCCAGCCCCTGCCTGTGGCTTGGGAAAGCCCAGAGCTATGGAACCCTGCACCCATGTGGGAGACCTGGAAAAAGTTCCTGGTTCCTGCCTTTAGATTGGCTCTGCTCCGGCTGTTGCGGCCACTTGAGGGATGAATCAGTGGATGGAAGATCTTCCTCTCTGTATATCTGACTTTGCAATAAAAATAAATAAATCTTTTTTTAAAAAAAGTGGCGTCTATGACAGGAAAAATAAAGTCTTCGCTGTACTGTTTCATTCCCCAAAAGGCAGCGGGAGCCAGGAACTCCATCCTGTACAATCGAGAAGGAAAAAAAAAAAGGCCCCAAACTTAACATCTTTACTAGAAAAAAAGGAAAACAATGAACCACAATTTCTTTTAGGATAAGAGAAAATACCACTTCCGCCCACGCACCCACACCAAAGCACTGTTGGTGTGATGGCTGCACGGAGAAGACAGGCAGACAGATAACCGCCATAAGGTGCTCCAGTGCTTACGTGCAGGGCAAATAAGCGAACGCAGAGGAGGGTCCGTGGACTCCGTAGGTAGGAAAAGTTAGGACAGACCCTTCCGTTTGCTGTGTGCTGTGAACCTTCAAGGAGGTGTTGGGGTTTGCTTCTTCGAGAAACTGCTACTTGGACCCCATCAACACTGTGTGGGAATTGCTGAGTTTCTCTAGTCATTTTATGACTGTGAGTTTAAGATACATCTTCAGAAGTTGGCAGTTGCTGTTTATTCCTCTCACTCCATGAGAAACCTTCTCTAATTTTTTTTTTTTAGTTGTTTTTCATTACAAGTGGATGTTTTCTTCTTGTGTGAAATTCTGGACCCTTCTCTCTGGGCGTGTCGTCTGTGTGTGTCATGCTGTATGGCCCCGGTGTTTACAGGCTGTGGTTTCCCCCTTAGCTGTGCAACTCTGCACAGGGAAACTGGGGCTTCGGACAGAAGCTGGTTGGTCAGGAACTGTGTGTGCGTTGGGAGTTGAGCCGCCGTGGCCTCTGCTCGCTGAGGCTGGTGGGTTCCACCGTGGCGACTTCAGAGGCAAAGAGAAGCTGCGGCCAGCTCCGCTCCCGTCAGCATCTGCTCACCTCCTTGCTTGGTCCTGTTTTCCATAATTCCGTGCAATGATTTGGTTTTACATTTGGATGTAGATACACACTGAAATAACACACCTGTAGCTTGTTCTGCAAAGATAGTTGCACGTAGGAAATTTTATGTATGCAGTATTGCCTCATTTAACAGGATAAAAGTCTCTTGGAAAGATGCTTGGACAAAAATGGAACCCTAGGTTATTATTTGCTTCTGTCTGAAACAGTTATTTTCTACGGGCTGCACACTCCCTGCAGCAACCTGGGAGACGCTCCTGGCTTCAGCCTGGCCCAGCCCTGGCTGTGCTGGCCATTGTGGGCGTGAACCAGCAGCTGGAAGATCCTCTCTCTCTCTCTGCATCTCTGTAACTCTGCCTTTCGAATAAATAGATAAAGCTTTAAAAAAGAAAACCTTGTTTGCATTATAAATATATACACAGAGGTGTGTTAGAAAAAGTCCAGTTCACTAGACGGCATCACATTCAGATTAAGAAACCAGCAGGCAGAGATATGGGGCATGCGGCCTAGTGGTTAGGATGTCCATGCCCCATGGCAGTGCCGGGGCTCTGTCCCTGGCCCAAGCTTCGTGCCTAATGTAGATCTTGCAGGAAACGCGGAAGTGCCCAAGTCACTGGGCACTGCCACCCGTGTTGTGGCTCTCCTGTTAGCCCCCAGTCTCGCCCCAGCCATTGCATGCAAGCAGGAAATCTTGATCTGCCTCTCAGAAAGGAAGAAGGAAGGGATAGGGGAGGATGAGAGAGGAAGGGAAAAATGTTTAAAAATACAGCAAACAGATCATCTGTGTGGATATTGCTATGCTGTGGAAGCCTTAGTGTTTGTTATCAAACTGAACTTGAGAGTTTCGTCTTGTGATCTAAAGTGCTGTCAGCTGTCCACTGTGTCTACATCCAACTTGCCGGTTTTACAAAACCTTTTATGTGCATTCTTATTCATCTGTGTTGGTTAATTCTACAGGATTATTTATTTATTTATTTATTTATTTTTGCTTGAAAAAGATAGAGAAGGCCCAGTGTGGTAGTCTAGCAGTTTAAGTCCTCGCCTTGCACGCCCTTGGATTCCATATGGGTTCTGGTTCTAATCCTGGCTGCTCCACTTCCCATCCAGCTTCCTGCTTGTGGCCTAGAAAAGCAGTTGAGGACGGCCCAAAGCCTTGGGAGCCTGCACCCATGTGAGAGATTTGGAAGAAACCCCAGGTTTCAGGTCAGCTCAGCTCTGGCTGTTGTGGCCACTTGGGGAGTAACCATAGGACGAAAGATATTCCTCTGTCTCTCCTCCTCTCTGTATATCTGACTTTCCAATAAAAAAAAAAATCTTAAGAAAAAAAACAGAAAAAGTGAGAGAGAGGAAGAGAGGTCTTCTATCTGCTTGTTCATCCCTCCAACTGATCGCAGTGGCCCTACCGGTGTAAAGTTGGAAGCCAGGAGCTTCTTCCAGGTCTCCCATGTGGGTGCAGGGTGCACAGCCTTGGGCCATTCTCCACTGCTGTCTCAGGCCACGGGCAGGAAGTTGGAAGGGAAGTGGAGCAGCTGGGACTTCAAGCACCTAGGTGCTGTAGGCGGAGAGTTAGTTGGCTGCATCACTATGCTGGCCCCAGTTGGTTAATTTTTAAGATGGCTGATAGATTCCTGTAATGCTGTTTAGCTCAAGAGGAGCTAATTTGATCAGTAACTTGTCTTTTCATTTCTTTGAGTCCCTGTACCTCAGTTACATTAAGATATTGTCTAAGACATGCAGCTCCTCAGGCTTCTGGATTATTTAAAATTGTCTTAATGACTATAACCTGTCCACAAATGATAGAAAATAGCAGTCTCCCTATTGATCACCTTTTTAAAACCACATTGGCAGACTTCTTGATCTTAAATACTATACAGGTATGTTGGTGCTGTTTAGGCACCAATGGCACTTAACATAAAAGAGCGACCTAGCAAAATAAAAATGGCTGAATATCATTAGTCTTTAGAGAATTGCAAATTGGAGCCACATTCTAGATGTACTATACTTGAATGGCTTAAATTTATTTCTGACACTTGGCAGGACCAAGTGTAGTTGAGGATGTACAGCACTCAGAATGCTCATAACGTTTGCTGCAGAGGACATAAAGATGACTTTTTTCCCCCAGAAGTTAAGCATCTCTTACTTTTTATGTGTTGTTTTGTTACTACACGAGAGCTCCGGTCCCAGACTCACTGCTCAGGTGCCCACAGTTGCTGTGTCTGAGCCAGACCCGAGCTGAAACCTGAGCAGGACCAGTTAGTCCATGGTGACAGGAAGTAGATCCCTGGCTGCAAAGAGCCGGAAGTGAGAGTTGTCTGGGAAGGGGCACAGAGGATTAGGAATGGTAATTACAAAATCCAAAAATTTTGTCAAAAATCCCTGGGCTTAGTGCTGTCATTTGGCACAGGGTTTAAGCATCAGAGTGCCTTGTTCTAATCCCAGTTTCCGCGTGACCCCTCCAGCTTCCTGCTTAAAATGAATAGCACTTCAAAAACTCTTTGGTCCCGGCAGCGTGGCCTAGCGGCTAAAGTCCTTGCCTTGAACGCGTTGGTATCCCATATGGGCGCCGGTTCTAATCCCGGCAGCTTCACTTCACACCCAGCTCCATGCTTGTGGCCTGGGAAAGCAGTTAAGGACGACTCAAAGCCTTGGGACCATGCACCCATGTGGGAGACCTGGAGGAAGTTCCTGGCTCCTGGCTTCGGATCGGCATAGCATCAGCCGTTGCGCTCACTTGGGGAGTGAATCACTGGATGGAAGATCTTCCTCTCTGTTTCTCCTCCTCTCTGTATATCTGACTTTCCAATAAATAAATAAATCTTTTAAAAAAAAGTTTATGTCTTATTATATGTGAATTGTACCTTTAAAATTTTTAATTTGTCTCAGGTAGAAATTGCCCAGCAAGCTTACAGCATCTGTTACTCTTGGTCCACTTTTGGGTAGCACATGTAAGCAGGCCAGGAATAATCTTGCCTAGTGTTTAGGTTTTTTTAGAGCTAAGGAAAGGGCCAAATTCGGGAGCAATTTGTCTAGACCTTTGGGACCCTGCAACCATGCGGGAGACCCCCAAGAGGGTTCTAAGGCTTTGGGCCGTCCTCAACTGCTTTCGCAACCCCACAAGCAGGGAGCTGGGTTGGAACTAGAGCAGCTGCGACAGAAACCAGTGCCCATATGAGATCCCAGGCAATGCAAGATGAGGAATTAGCCAGTAAGCCATTACGCCAAGTCCTTTATAATAGTGTTTTTTGTAAGCCAAAGATTTGGGTAAATCTGTAATTGGAGATCTTACTGCCCAGTATGCAATCTTCTTGATGCCATAGAATTTACTTGTAAATTAATGTGATTTTCTTATAAGTTTAGGTAAGCAGGTTTATTAGTTGTTTCATAGTTTGGCGGCTCAGTTTTTACCGTCTATGATCTTTACTTTGATAGAAAACCAGAAGAGATCAGAAGTACTCCTGAAAGAATTCTTACTCAAAATTTTATTCAGTTTTACTGGTCTCATATTCAAAAGTCACAGGCACTGTTGAACAAATGGTTAGCAATCTGTCTTTTTGCCCTCCTCCCTGTGTTGTTGAGCATACATCTGTGTCAGTTGTTTGGGGTGCTGAGGTTGAGGGACTCAATGTTACCTAGCAAAGGGCTGGAAGCGGAAAGATTGGTGGGCACAGAGACTCTAAAGATGGAGAGGACCTCAGTTCTCATTTGCTACTGCTTACGTATTCTGACCGATTGTTCCTGGAATTTCTTCTCTCCCCTTCTTAAGATTTTTTTTTTTTTTTGAAAGGCAGAGCTACAGAGAACGAAATCTTCCATCTACTGGTTCACTCCCCAGATGGCTGCTACAGCCAGTGCTGAACTGGTGTGAAGCTGGGAGCCAGGAGCTTCTTCTGGGTAACCCGTGTGGGTGCAGGGGTCCAAGTACCTCGGCCACATCATTTGCTGTTTTTCCAGGTCATAAGCAGGGCACTGAATAGGAACTGAAGCGGCTTGGACAAGAACCGGTGCCCACATGGTATGCCAGCACTGCAGATGGAGGCTTAGGTTACTTTGCCACAGTGCTGTTCCCTATTCCCATAGGTTAAGCACTAGCATCCCTGCAATCCTGGCAGCTCTGCTTCTGATCTGACTTCCTGCGATGTGCCTGGAAAAACGATGGAAGGTGACCCAAGTGCTTGGACCCCCATCACCCATGTGAGAGATCTAACTGGAATTCTAGGTTACTGGCTTCAGCCTAGCCCAACCTAGATATGTGACCATCTGTGGAGTGAAACTACATGAAAGACCTCTGTCTCTTGTCTGAGATTGGGATCTCATGGCCTGGATACTGCATACATGAATTTGTCATGGTTTGCCCCTACTGTTGTGGCCATTTAGAGAGTGAACCAGAAGATCAAATACTTCTCACTCTGCCTTTCAAATAAATAACCAGTTCTCTTTTTTTCCTTTCTTGGTACTCTGCTTCCCTTTATTTCAACTTTTCGCTGGCATTAATTTTTTTCCCCAAAAATAAGGGTCCTGGTGGGCAGTGTGTTTTAGTGAATAGAGAGTAAACTTGGACCAAGCTTTATTTGCACTGCATTTACTGTTGATTTCTTTAGTAACCACATGAGGTAATGAAAGAAAATAAGGTATGTAAAACACTCGGCAGCATGTCTTTATAGGCAGCATTCATTACTTGTTAATTTATTACTTTTTTCCTCTTTTGTATTAGGAGTCGGTTTAATTCTGAGGAGTAGAGATTTGTGTTTATTGAGAACCTGCTATGCCCAGGGTTTTCTGCTAGGTAATGGCAGAATAACAGAGGCAAGCACGACAGACAGTTGAGTGCAGCGTGGTAGTGTCGTGTTCTCCATGCTGACACAGCAGCTGCTGCGTGCACCGCATCCTGCAGACATAGACTGGCATCCCGCGTCGGTTGCACGGCTGTCGGGAAACAGTTGTGTTGGAGTGAGTTTGGAGAACAGCCTAGCACTGAAAGGTCAGCACTACCCCAGTCATCTTGTGGGGGAGAGACCAAGACGAGGCCCAAGATGTGATGTAGAACAGTAAGTGATAAAGGTATGTTAGGACAATTTGGAAGCCTTAAAATCCATGGCCGCAGACTGTAAATTGCCAGGAGATGTGGCTGAGCTGAGTAGAGAAGGTCAGGAGTAGCAGATAGAAAACCAGCAGTAGCCAGAGCTGTCCTTTGGAAAGGAGCTGTTAGAACCTGCTGGGGGGGAGGCGGAGGGGTGGGCACGGAGAGAAGGTGAGGGAGTGAGGATTGCTGGGACAACACTGCAGAGTCCAGTGTGTGGGGCCAGGGTTCATTCTGTAAGCTGTGAGCAGAGGTTCTCCCATTTAACTCAAAAATTTCTGTTTAAGCATTGGCTTATGAGTTCCCAGCTATGTTTGCACACTGTTCTCCAACACCATTGGCAAAGCAGAACCATTTTTGTGTTGAAGGAATGCTTAAACTTGACAGGGTCTCTAACTGGTAGATATTGATAACTTAAGAGTCTTCACTCTGATTCCTAATTTTTCAATCATTTGAAGTAATGAAGACAAAAATCTTCTCTTCCGTACTCAAGGCTTCCTTGATGGAAATATAGGCCACAAATACTCTGAAATTACTCAAGCTGGGATGATTTTAGTTGTCAGGGTTGTAACTGTTTAGGGACCATCAAATAGTCTTAGAGGGTCTGGTGTGAGGAACAAGAGCGTATCCTTACATTCCTCGGGTCCCTTTGTAACTGACTGGCTGGAGCGACCAACAGGAAGAACACAGAACATGCTGCCGATGTTTGGGCCAGATAGCTTTTGACAACTCTTTGATATTGAGAGAGTTGCAGACACTCCTGTTCCCCTGCGTGTGTTTTACAGTGTAGGGAGAGGTAGTAGACCAGTGATCGTCATTCGGGTGTGATTTTGTCCCCAGGAACCCTGGCAGGGTGCAGCACTTGACGTGCTGCCGAGACCCTCCAACACATAGCACAGCACTTGCCCCACCCCAACCACGAGGCCCAGAGAGGTGTGAGACTGAGATCCTTCTAGAAATAACAAGTGTTAAGAAAGTTTTAATTACTTTTGATTTAGGATATCCATCGCAATGTTATTTGGCCACAAAATAGAACTATTGTTTTCTGGTACCTGTATCTCTTTTCTGTACCTTATAGATGGCCTTACTCTACTCAACCCTTAATTTAGTATTAGAAATATTTGTTGGGCCTTGATGTTTGAAGTTCCTTCAATTCTTTGAAATGTGTTTTTTTTTTTTTTTAAGTATTTCTTTTGTGATAGAAGGTGTAATGACAAAGTGGTTAAATGTGTTTTTTTTTAAAACAAGAGTGGTTTATTTGAAAGTCAAAGAACTTTCATCCACTGGTTTATTCACCAAATGACTTGTGATATCCCTGGCAGGGCAGCCCACAGTCAGAGCCGCGAGTGGCAGAGCCCCCACGGACGTGGGTCATCTGCTGCTGCTTGCTTTGCCAGGCACATCAGCAGGAAGTTGGATAGGATTATGGCTATGCTGTAGTATCATGCTTGTTCTTGTTCATTTGTGTCTGAAAATGTGGTGAGCACGGAGATTGTAGCTTCATGAACATGGTTTGTAAGATAGCTTGATACGTCTTTAGGGGAGGGAAAGGGGCATAATGCCAACAAACTGCCAATTTAGTTTGTAGAATATCAGTAAAATTTGAGGCTGATTTCTGATCATTTAAAAACAGGCTAAACGTGTCATTTATGGGCTAAATAAATGGTGAGCTTGTGTGTGCCTCAAGAATAAACATATGCTTAGGCCCGGCGGAGTGGCCTAGCAGCTAAAGTTCTCGCCTTGAACACACCAGTATCCCATATGGGCGCCGGTTCTAATGCCGGCAGCTCCACTTCCCATCCAGCTCCCTGCTTATGGTCTAGGAAAGCAGTCGAGGACGGCCCAAAGCCTTGGGACCCTGCACCCGCATGGGAGACCTAGAGGAAGTTCCTGGCTTCTGGTTTCAGATCGGCGCAACACCAGCCGTTGCAAAACAGTCTGCTGGTTAACTATGCTTATTAGTTCTGTGGGAGCCCACTATTCCTAACCAAGCCAAGTCTGTTGAGAGTTTGAGTCATGCCACGTGTGTGGTACAGTTGCGTTACGGTGGCCTCCCCTTTGGACAAGCTGTGCAGGCAGATTGGCAGCCGTGTGGATGAGGCTCCTTAGTGCTGCTGTTGCTGTGGGACAGCATGGTAACCTGTAGGATTCTCAGCCTGTGTGGAGGATCTATAGCGCCAACCAGGGAGGCTGGGCCACCTCTTGCATTGAACTTCTTTCCCTCTGCCTCCTTGCATCTAAGCTGTAACTGGGAAAATTGTGTTTTTAATATGTTAATTTTTAAAAAATTTTATTGGAAAGGTAGATCTACAGAAGGACAGATCGTCTGTCCACTGGTACACCCCCCAAGTAGCCGCAACGACTAGAGCTGAGATGATCTGCAGCCAGGAGCCTCTTCCTGTTCTCTCGAGCAGGTGCAGGGTCCTAAGGCTTTGAGCCTTCCTCGACTGCTTTATCCCAGGTCACAAGCAGGGAGCTTGATGGGAAGTGGAGTGGCTGGACCAGGACCTGAACCAGTGCCCATATGGGATCACAGTGCATGCAAGGCGTTTAGAGGATTTAGGCCTTTGCACCAGATCTGAATTGTTATTTTTATGGAGAATTATTTCATTGAATAGAATATGTGTGTGTGCTATGACAGGAGCTGAGTGAACTTTACCTCATTGCATCTTGATTTCAGCCCTGTTAAATTAGGCGTGGCTCCATTCCATTTCAAATAATTTGCCTAAGCCTGGAGGAAGTCCAAAGGCCGCTCGTAGACTCCAAAGTCCACATTCTTTCCTTCACACAGCATTGTTTCCCATTACCTGTGAGGGTGGCAGAAGGAAGGATGTGTGGGGAGAGGAGTCTGGGTGGTTTAGTTTAATAGTGGGAATCAGATAGGAAGGAAGAGTTTCGTTTTCTCTGCGGGTAGGGGCATTCTCCCGAGTCCTGGAAGTATACTGATGGCAAAGTCCCCTGGAATTGAGGCCAAGGTCCCTCGGTGGCTCTAATTAAAAGGTGAGCCAGAGGATTTGAGAAGCTGAAGACAAGTGTTTCTAAGGGAAAAGAACTATATAAAAAGAAATACTGTTTGGGAAACAAGGACATTCTTAATACCCTGAAATGTATGATCCTGGTGAATTTGTGACAGTTCAGGTTTTTAATTGTCCATACTGTAGTGATTGATTTCAAGGAAGTGATAAGATCTTGTATGGTTTCCTTACTGCAGTCAGTAACTAGGTGGGCTCAGTGAACAGAAAACAGGCTACACTAGTCATCAAAGCCAGGGGTCATTAGTGGCCAGTTGGACAATGACGTTCTGGTAGAGAAGTGTGGGATGATGGCCTAGTGGCTAAAATCTCCGCATGCACCAAGACCTTGCATGGGTGCCAGTTTGTATCCTGGCTGCTCCACTCCCCATGCCTGATTGTAGCCTGGGAGGGCAGTGGAGGATGGCCGGAAGCCTTGGGATCCTGTGCCTGCATGGGAAACCCAGAAGAAGCTCCTGGCTTCGGATTGGCTCAGCTCCAGCTTTTGCAGCCACTTGGGGAGTGAACCAGTGTGGTTGGAAGATCTTTGTCTGTTTCTCCTTCTTTCTGTAAATCTGCCTTTCCAGTAAAAATAAATAAATATTTTTAAAAATAAATATAAGTAAAATAGGAAAGCGTGATGCTTAATTTGCCTTAGAGATACGGGCATTATCCATTTTAAAAATGAGTTATACATCTAAAACTTTGCAATT